AAGCAAACTTGATGACGTTTCAACAGAAACAGTGGAACTTGGTAAGACACCAACATTAAGAAACAACAATTGGAACTAAAAGCGTAAGACCACAAGTTTGGGACACATTCAAAGTATGACATGGGCGTGAAGATTTTGTTAAAGAATGTGTTAAGATATATATCAACACTATGATTACCATTTAATTGGTCTGAATAAATGTATATGTTCTTCGATTTATATTGTTTTATTTAGAAAGCCGCCTAGTAAATAAGATGTTACAAATCTGTATACATGTATGTCATAATTATGTGTTTCTCTCTGTAAATAAAGCTTTCATTATCATTTTCATTATTATTATTAATTATTATTATTAATAGTATTATTATTATTATTATCAAAATGGTATTCTAAATAATAGTTTTTGGTTTTAATTTTGCTGTTAAAAAATCACAGTTTTAGCACAGTTGATATATTTGTATATCTGGGAGGAGAATCCAGAGATCAAGCGATGAAACTAGGGTCGCATTTTGTTTGGCTTAGATAACGTCACATTTGACTCATCTTGGAACACGTCAAGTGACAACGCCTATAACGAACAAATTGTCATTGCCCAAATACTAGCAGCTGGCACGTATGTCCTCAGTGTGTGTAACATTCAGTCTATTTAAACATGTTTCCCTTTCTACAAGTGGACATGCGATCATAATGGTTAATAGGACTATAGCGGCGGGGATGTACATGTTCTAGGATCAGTCTTTTAAAGTTATTGTTGTTTAGTTCAAAGCAGGTGATGTCGTGTCCGATATCAAGTGATGGAATTTTCGGTGATTCCTATAGTTCATTCAGTAGATCTAGTGGATTTCTGCTCTATATACAGATGACTCAACAAGTTCGTTTGTTGCGTAAATGGTTGAACTGATTACTTTTTGTCATATACACGACATTGGTCTTTTTCACACTGAATACTTGGTAATTTTATTGAATTATTGGAAGTATAGTTAAAACAAATTGTGATTTAGATTTCATTAGGATAGGTTGGTACAATTTGAATTTTTCAAAAAACAACAAAAAACAACAACATTTTTTAATGAGTCTTATGTATAATTTAAACACCCTCTATAACGTCATCAAACTAAATGAAGTATTTATTCATTTCTGAACTCTGCCCAAATACTCAACAGTCATAACAAATACCGTTATGTTGTGTTGCAGATCATTTGTTTTCATTTATGCTTTCTGAAATAAAATTTCATCAGTGTTTGTTAATTAAATTTCGTCATATTGATAGTGTGGTGCCTGTGTGCAAGACCAAACAAAACTAATCTATGCAAAATTTTGCTTACTTAAGCTGTGGCTATTCATATTCAACTGCAACAAGACGCTTATCATTTGGTCATAAGTCATTGAATTATATGAAGTGTGTGCGTGTTTGTTTTTTTTAAATTTGTTATCTAGGGGAGGCAACTCAAAAAGGAAGGGCATATTGCATAAGAGCAGTAGACGATTACCGTTGACATATTTATTTAGTTTTAAAAACATAACAGTAGAAGTTATAGCTGTATTTACTTGTTTATTATAATAGTGGTTTTAGTTTGTTTAGAGAGACACTAATAATCAATGTGAAATATCGAACTTGTATGTTTACTATGCAAGCTTTACAATTGACGTTTCTGCTTCTAGATCAAACAACAACACTAAGCTTTACATGTGCATGCAGTAACTTTATAATAGCAAACCATTAGACAGCCGTATTTTAGTGTTAAAAGATAAAATCAAGTAAATATATCAATCATGTATGGCTAGCTGTTCATTTTACATGCAGTTGTAAACATAAACTTGGTCTATTTCTCATATGCTTATATGTAAATACTTGTACAATAAATTTAGGTCGAATAAATATTAACTTCTGCTCAACATTGTATAAGCCGTAGATCTTGTTACCTTAAACATTTTAACAAGACTTGTTTCACTCGAAAATCTTTCAAATGAAATAAACTGGGAATCTCTCGAAGAAAGACGATATATTCATAGAATGATCTTACTATTTAAAATTCAAAACGGACTAGCTGCAGATTATCTTTTCTCAATTCTCCCAACAACAACTAATGATAGGTACAACCTAAGAAATATTGACAATATTCCGGGAATATATGCAAGAACTACACTTTATTTTAACTTTTTTTTCGACTGCAATAAGGGAATGGAACATCCACACGATGTCCGTAACCTTCCAACTCTCACATCATTCAAACAAAAATATACGGCACACGCCTATTACTTTTCTGGTGAAAGAAAACTTCAAATTCTTCATACAAGACTTCGAACAAAGTGTAGTTCTCTAAACGACCATTTGTCTTTGAAAAACATAACTGCATCGCCTTTATGTCTTTGCGGCCAAAATAGAAAATAACTTTCATTTCTTCTTCGAATGAACACAATTTGACACAGCTCGACAAAAGTTACTTCGAAATTTGAATAATGTTGACATCTTTTAGGCAACCCAGACCTTTCTGACCAAACTAATGACATAATTTTTTCACACGTACACACTTACATCCAAGAGACAAAAAGATTCATTTAACACCTAAACACTTAATCATTATATTCCTATACTTTATACCTCATTATTTATCTTTCTCCTTCTTCACTACCTTTTCACCTTTCTGTGTTCTTTTCAAATACTATTCTACTTTGTATGTTTATATTAATATAAATGTTAATTCGATCCATTAATATATTCATTCTAAATATATATTCATTCTAAATATATTCAATGGAACATATACTATGTTTCTTAAAGCATTTAAATACATATCAAATTTTGTGTTTTCTTTTTTTCTTATATAAACTCGTGATTTTTTTAATATTATAGTCGTCTCAGATTATAAAATATGTAATTACTTAAGCGCCTATTATAATGTCAATTACTCACTTAGGAGAAGAATTTCATAAGACATGTTGTCTTTCATTCTAATCCTGTTTTTTAAGAACATTTGAATTGCTCTCTGTATATTGTAAATTGTAACATGTATATATATTCTGAGAATTAAATATGTTTAAACTAAAAACTAAACATTTTACACAAAAATGTCATGTTATTTCACTACAAATCATTAATGCAAAAAGCTTAATTATAACAAAGCTGTATTGCAGGATACATTTGCAGGGTGAGCAGAAGTGACACCATCGGTCGGGTTGCATTCTACGCATACAAGTCTACACCAACGCCTTATCTTGGTGAAGGTCAAGGCATCGTGTTTGATTACCGGACAACAAATATAGGCAATGCCTATAACGTACATAACGGTGTTTTCGTCGCTCCAGTGACCGGGGTTTATGTTTTCCGTGTGACACTTGGACATTATAGTACTTTTGTTCAGTCGGACAACGGTGATAGTAACTTAGTGGTTAACGGTGTTATTGTAGCAGGCTTATTTATAAGCAATGACCAGACATCCAAAATGATTGTTGTCGATCCCAAGATCGGTGATCCCGTGATCTACTTCCAATCAGGGGATTTTGCTACATAATTTTTTGTTATTCGTGATTTTTAAGTTCTGTAAATATTTACTCTCTTTGCTGAAACATACGCAATGTGCAGGTGTGAGAAAGTATTGAATCTCAACGATAAGGTAATTCAATATATTAAACTCTGGAAGGTTGAACATATTGAGGACGCCACTCAAAGAATGTTTCATTTTCCGTCAATATGCCCAGCTATGCTTTTATTTTTATTTTGCTTTTTTATTTGGTGTTCTTTATAGTGCTTACAAAAGTTACTGATTGCTGTACCGGACCATTTTTTTACTTTTGTTGCCATTTGGCTACTAGGTCAGTTACAATAATTTAACATTTTGTATGTATTTAAAAATACTACTTTGTTTACATTTTGCTATTTTTATGATTCAGCGCTTCTTTCTTCAGGCAGTAAATGTCTAGAATGCTTTAAAACCATTATTTAAACGTTGTAAAACCCCTTTTGTCCTTTCAATACTGATACATAATAAAAGAAACTAACAAATTGTTCCTACTGAGAACATTCAAATTCATTCTTTACTTATTCTGCAAATTTAAAAATTCTATCATAAACGTTTAGATATCTACGATTGACCAAAACATTTTCGTTTCATTTTTAGTGTTATATCTATTAAGAATTAAAAGCGTATAATTGTACACGAAGTTTCTCAAACTTGTAACCATAATTGTATTATTTGTCATATACATTTTTTCGCGCACGTGACTATGTCCTGTCATTACTACTACTGTCATTCTAGATATGTATTGTTGAATTACATTGATCAAAAACGTCTTTTTGATCCATTTCGGGAATTAAATGGTAATTGCAGTAAGTATGCATAGCGACGCACAAATCCAATTCAGCAAGCCAGATTAGATTTTTTCCTTATTACTGAAGATTTATTACCACATGTTAGAGGTTGTGATACAGATGTAAGTTATAGATCTGACCATTCTATCATAATTTTTAAAATTGATTTACAAAATATTGTACATGGGAAAGGTTTGTGGAAATTTAATAATTCTTTATTATGTGGCTTAGAATATTTAAATTGTATGAATGATAAGATAGATGATGTAATATTGCAGTATTTGTTGTCTGTATATAATATTGACTGTTAAAGCACTCATACAACACGGGACCTAGATTTAAAGTTTCATCCGAAAGATTGATTAGTAATTTTAGTTGGTCAGCCCGGGAATCGAACCCACAATGTCGAGATTACAATTCTCGCACTCTAACCTATTGAGCTATGTGGGCTGGCTAATTCGGAATCGTCTATGAACTTCTACTATAATTATATGCTCTTTTTGCCCTACGCAGCTTGTGCATTCATGAGAAATACTACTTTCGGTCCGCATCGTTAAATGGTCTATTTTATTATCTGTACAACCTGGTTTATAAATTGAAGTTATTTGTGGAGACGGCCTACTGAATTTTCGTACTCTTTATAGTAAATCCATCACATCTAAGACTAAATTCTGAACACAGCATATCCCGTACAGTCATTTGGTGGCTAAAACTTTCAACAACAATACTATCCAACTAAATTTAGCACAGAAAAATAATACATTGGCCCTTGGACTTTTTCTGCAGCTTTTAATTTGTGTAAGCACTATAAAATAAACCAAATAACAACTGGGATGTACTCTGGCGCATGGTACTTCCAAAAACCTTCCACCAAGAAATGAAATCCTGCAAAGATACACAAAAAACAACCTTTAAAGTACTTAGTAATGAAACTTCATGTACACATTTACAAACAAGAGCACCGCTAGGCGGAGCATTATATGCCCGAAAGTGTTTTTTTGTTAGTTAGGATGAAACATTTGTAAGACATGGGAATTAAATACATTAAATACAGTATTACCTCCTTCAAAAAGCAATCCTCATTTATAGCTAAAGAACCTTCATGTATATATATATATACAGTTGCTGTTTTCAAAGCACCAGCATCAAGTTGTAGTTATGCTCCAGAAACCACAACTTTCAGTGTAAAGATCATTGTGATCCTGACCTTTGACCTTATGACCCTTAAATCTATAGGGGTAATGTATTGGACATGGCTGTTCATCCTTTAAAACTATACAGCTGTAGGTTGATTAATACTTAAGTTATTAAGTGAAAACTGTTTTCAGTTTTAAGGTAAAAGTGACCTTGACCTTTGACCTTGTGACCCCAAAATCAATAGGGTCTTCTACCCAATATGGACAATCATCCTATGAAGTTTGAATACTGTGGGCCAAATGGAACTTAAGTTATGCTCCGGAAATCATTTTGAGTTTTAAGGTAAAAGTGACCTTGACCTTTGACCTTGTGACCCCAAAATACCTAAGACATTTGTCCAACTTCAAGTGTCGTATAATAATAGAAGGAAGCTGGTAAAATAAGATTTAAATACTTTTAATGAGAGAACCTCCGTTGCTTCAGTGCTTCATTCACGAAATCGGCGTTACCTGTAAAATTGGTCTCAATTACGTTTTATCTGCTAAATTAATTGTAATATGACACGACTAGATTGAAAAAAAGTCTCAGGCATACGGAATATAAAAAGTCAAAGATTAATATGTACGTTAGTGTATTTAAAGATATCAACAAAACTAACAATTGCCATCAATACGCTACTGAGGTCGTCATTTTCACGAATGATCTTGAAAAATAAACATTTTTATGAAAATATTTTTGATGAGGTTAAAAGTATAATGTCTCGGCAACCGTAAGCGCTAATTCGTTTCTTCGAATTTGCTGCACAGTAAACAAGATATTGGTCCATTTACGTATCGCGGTTCTCGTTTTAGCCACTAAAATATGACAAACAAGATCAAAAGGGAAGGCGGCGTTCAATAAACGCAACCCCCAGACGACCTAGCAACAAGAACCAGAGGCAAGGAGCCCAGGAGGATCCCAAACAAAAACAAGACAGGGCGCAAGGGAGAGCACTGTCAGGCTTATCACTAAAATGATACACATGAAGAAATAATAGTAACCGACAAGGAAATCATAATTTCAGAAAACATATAACTGATTGATTAATAGCCCCACTAATTAAAGGGCACAGGGGAAAGGGGATATGAAATTCGGGGAAGGAGGCGAAATAAAGAAATAAAACTAGGGGGGAAAGGGAAAATACTTACCGTAGACGAGACAACAACAAGGGACACAAACAAAAGTGTCACCAAAACAGTATGAAACAACAAGACATACATCTGAGGAACACAGATCGAGGGCGCCGCCTTGGAACGGTCAGCAGCATAAGTACTACTGGGGAGTTTAAACCGGTTAATGGTGCACCAAACCGTAGTCCCGCCATGTTCCTATAAACGAGACATTGTAAATAAAATGAATCCCCGCCAAGTGAAATTCTAACGGTTGTTATGATTACAAAAGATGAAATAAGTAAAACACCAAAATGATCATGTAGAAACATATAAAAGAAAACCCAATGACCAAAATAAAAGTACTCAATGTCTTAAAGGAACAAGAAAATCACCTACAAGGGCCCGACGAAGCAAGGCAGAAGATGAACATTAAGGCAATTAAGTCCCAAAGGGCTTCAAGAACTGTCCATCATAGAGTCTCCAACCTGGTCCGTCAGATGTAATCAAAAGAGGAAAACGTAGTGTCCAACTGTAAAAGGGTTGAACACTCAGCATGCAGTATGCCTTAAAATAGTGGGATCATAACCTCTTTTAATAAAACGTTTAATGATTTTAGTAAAAACAGCAGAAAAAAGCTTGCTGGTAATGAAAATATTCCGCTCGTTGAAATCTTTACGTACGTTGCTACACGCTCTAGAGAATCTAATTAACTGAGAAACATATACCCCATAAGATGTTGCATGGGGTACGTCTCCATATTCATGTGGATAATTTACTATACAAAAGTCAATGTCATCTCTTTTATCATAGATTTTCGTGTGATCGAATTGTTGTTGACAGTAATATGAAGATAAAAAAATGATGTACTAAAATTTCAAGTGTTCGTTTTATTAAGTAGTAGTTCATGGGGATAAATATCAGACAACATTTGATCAAAATAAAAATTATCTAAATTAAAAAAATCATCAAGGTATCTGGGAGTATTATTAAATGCTACTATAACATCTTGTTGTGTATATTCACAGAGACTCAACATAAAGTCTCTTTCATAGCAGTACAAAAACAAATCGGCGACCAGTATCCATAGGAATACCTATGATCTGTTTAAATAGGGTATTTCCAAACCTGACATAAATGTTGTCTAAAAGAAAAGAGAGTGCTCTACAAACTTCGTCACAGGTCCACATAGTATAATGTTTCACAATACCGTTAGTGAAAAAAGTTTTGTTAGAATTACATGCAAGAAAGGTAATTTTTTCCCGTGCAAAAGTTTTCTGAATTAAGGAAATTAGTTTATCATTAATTAATTTAAGTGGCAAGGTTGTATAAAGTGTAAAAAAAATTCGTATGTACTGACAGTTGAAGCTTGATAAATGTAGTTGTTAATTTTGAATTTATCCAATATTTCACCAGAACTTTTATAGACCAAAAGAGATGTTTGCCTGTGTTTTCATAGACTTTATCACAATATCTAATTACATTGTACATGTGTTTTAATGGCAGTCAAACAAGACGTCAATAAAATAGAAAGTTTACTTGTAGTGCAGAATGTAGAATTAGCAATGAAACTGGCTTGGAAAGTTTTTTTATGTAATTCAGGAATCCAATTCATAATAGGAAGTTTGAGTTCTTTTTCATTAATAATTGCACAATTCTGCGTAACTTTTGCACAATTCCTGCGTTATTTGCACATTCCTGCGTTAATAGATATACACGGTGATCATTTGGCAGAAGATTTGACGGCGAAAAAGAAAATCGAAACTTGTATCCTGCTGCGAGCTGCCGATGTCCTGACTAATACAGAGGCCGGGTAGTGGCCCTACATGTACAAAGTAGGCAGGGACGACGGGAAAAGTGTGCTAGGATGCGTGAGTCCCTAGCACAGAGAGTGACTGTTTGAAAGGTAGGCCCTTTGTCGGCATAATGTTCAGCCTTTATCAGGGCTACCTCCTTTCCGTATTGTCTCAGGTTACTTTTTTATTGACCGCCGTATAGTGACCTACTTTTGGCTCAAAATTCATATCATGGATAACAGACCGTGGAAATTGCATAGAGGTAAATTATCACCACTCTGTGGTTTAAGTGCATAACTAGTGAAATGTCCATGCAGGGTCCGTACTCGACAGCGAAAGCTGCATTTACTGGACAGTAAAGGGCGGATGGAGCTTCATTAAGCATAGACTACTCCCACGCCACCCCCCCCCCCCTCCTCATGAACCAGTGTGTACAGGCTCCTTTGGAATAAAACAATATTCGGAATATTTTTCTAGGAATGAGTCTATTCCACGTTTTAAATGCCTGGCTGCATGGCGATTCCTAGCATTTTTAGAAATACTAATATTTGTATGAATAAAATAATATAAAACATAATTGCTATTAGTGTTTACTTTTTTATTGTCCATGGAGCCGCTTTTTATCAATTATTTTTGTATACTGTTTGTACAATTATAATATTTAAAAAAAACAGACTTTGTTCATTTTGAGTACTGTTTTGTATGTTCCAAAGAAAATACATTTAATAGTCTTATCTCTAGCAAGCCTATCACAGTTCATGATGAACAATGTCTTTCGTCTGCCCATTCATCTTGTTCAATTCTGGTAAATCCAATTAAGGCAAACTAGTCAAATCGGCCCCAAGTCATATCGGCCCAGGTCAAATTGGCCACAAAATTAGTCAAATCGGCCTCAAAATTAGTCAAATCGGCCACACAACAATTTCAAAAAGTCAAATCGGCCCCAAAACTAGTCAAATCGGCCACAAAACTAGTCAAATCGGCCTCAAAACTAGTCGAATCGGCCCTTAAGTTATTTTTGTGACTAACAGCTATAAATACTTAAAAATAATGGTGAATTAATTGCCATAGCAAAATAAGTAAAAAATAAAATTTTATTTCTAAATTCAAATTTTTATAAGAGAAGTTTTTGATTTAAATTAATAATATAGTTTATTGATAAAAAATAAATAGAGATGCAATACTACTGGATTAACGAATGCGTGATGCAATTAACGGTAATTAAGTGTGAACAAAGTGCTACCTGATGAAACGTGGCGGTACAAAATTATGTGTTGTTGAAACTTTATTTGATTTGTTGCGCATGAGTGGATACAGAACACACAGACAATATAGATATATATAACATATATATGAATATATAATTTGAGATTTAATTGATGACCAAACACCAACTGTTTGAATTTATTATAACATAATTTCTTGGTGCATGCATTATAATAAATAGACATGCATATGTATGTTGTGATATTCGTTGTGATGATGTGTGTTATGCCCCAGTCAGAAATAAAGTATATATGCTCTGTTCTATCATGGTTATTTTGTCCGAAAAATACTTATTTATAGTGATATCCATCCAATTGAAGAGTGAGACGTTTAATCAAGTAGCATGTTGTTCACACTTGATTGCTTTAAATTAGCTGTTTATTAGTTACAAGTGTGAAAAACCTCATATGCCTCATACAGTTACATTTATCATGTTTCATATGTTTATAGTACATTGAAGATACATGTAAAACGTTATACTCAGACAATAAATTTGATTATTATATGTTTTGTTCTTGTTTTCTTTGTAATCCATGGTTTCTCATTTGGTATTCCCATCCACACAATTGTTTTTTTATCAATATGCATCCAGCATTTAAAAAAAAAGAAAATGAATAAAGAAAATAAAAAAATGGGCCGATCTGACTTGAGGCCGATTTCACTTGAGGCCGATTTGACTATTTTGGGGCCGATTCGACTTGGGGCCGATCTGACTTGGGGCCGATTTGACTGTAAATGCCAATGCAGCATTGAAAATTCTAAAATAATATCTGGTCATCAGATGTCTACTAGTTCATCGTCACTTGCTGCATTTTTTGCTTGGACGCCCTTTGATGCTTTGCATCAATGCTGCTTTCTTGTTATAACATGATATACCATTTGCCGCTAAACATTTTGGACATTTTGAAAAATAAAATCGATGAAAGATTTAGTTTTGGCTTATTTATATATGGATTTTTAGCTCGACTTTTCTATGAAAAGGGGAGCTATCCTACTCGCCCCGGCGTCGGCGTCGGCGTTGGCGTCACACCTTGGTTAAGTTTTTCGTACCACCCCACTTTATTTCAGAAGTATTACAAGTATGGCTTTGAAACTTACCATACTTGTTCACCATCATAACCTCCATCTACAGACAAGAGTACATAACTCTGTCAAGGTTTTTGACAGAATTATGGCCCTTTTTTGACTTAGAAAGTGTATTGAGCTTGGTTAAGTTTTTTGTACCACCTCACTTTATTTCAAAACCATTGGAGGTATTGCTTTGAAACTGACCATACTTGTTTTACCATCACGACCTTCATCAACAGACAAGAGGACATAACTCTGTCAAGGTTTTGACAGAATTATGCCCCTTTTTGACTTAGAAAATACATTGAATATGGGTAAAATCCACTTATTGCCTTAACCCTTTGAGATATTGCTTTGAAACTTTTAATGCTATTTCACATCATTACCCCCATCTGTACGCAAGAGAAGGTAACTCTGTCAAGGATTTGTTTTAAAAATTAAGGCCTTTTATCGACTTAGAATCTTGGTTAAGTTTTTAGTACCAGTCCACTTTTTGACTGAACTGTTTGAGATATTAATTTGAAAGTTGGAATACTTGTTTACAATCATGATTCCCAAACATGTCCAGGAGAAGGTAATTCTGTCAAAGATTTTATTTGAATTATGGCCCTTAACTGTCAATGTTTTGTATTATAGGCAAGCACTAAAAAACTTAAAAAATCTAAAAAAATTCATTCCTATCCACTTGTTCACTTTACCATAAATTATGTCATATAAACATTGCTGTAATATTCAAGGGTATCAAACAACTAGTTCACTTTAAAAATACAGAGATTCTTGTATTGCCTTTTACTGCAAAAACTTTTTTTATTGGCAAGCAATAAAAAAGTCGAGCGCGCTGTCTTACGGACAGCTCTTGTTATACTTCTTACAATGATTAGTTGTTGATATTTGTAGAGAATGAGTAGCATTACAGGTGAAAAAGAAAATGTACATGCTTTGATATTTTTTATATCTCATCTAATATGTTTTACTGTAGTGACACAATCAGAACATCATGTCACATACCATTAAAAAGTCTTGTTTGAATTGGAATTCAAAGCATATATATATTTTTTTAAATTTAATATCTGACCCCTCTGTCGTGGACAGTGCATACGATAAGTCTAATTATGCAAATTTAAATCTGGAATAATGTACATAAATAGAAAATGACCTGTGCGAATGAGCGCATTTTTTGCGCGGAGATTCTCAATTGCTGCATTTCAGCATCATTTGTACTTATAATTATTATTGTCATTAAGATATCAAAATCCAGCTTACTGGTTATCCGTATTGTTTGATTTTATTAACCTGTCAATTCCATACTGATTATACGGTCAATGCACAGAATATATTAATATTCGATAAATGTTCGGTAAATTCCGTGAGATGTACGCAGCAAGATGTGATTAAATTCATCTAGTTTGTATGAATTAGTTACACTGACCGTTATAGCGCAATAGGGTAAACCACGGGTATATATTATCTGAATGTCCAAAGTGTTGCAAGATCGAGTGTATATTCAGGTTTTTTTCTTATACATAATTATTTTCAACATTTTTGAAGTTATGGTTGTTCCTTTTATAACATGTTTTGCACTTTTTGTAAATACTATTCTTTTGTATATAACATTGTTTAAGAATTATTACTGAAAAGTCATTCGGATTAAAATCAAAATATGTAATTTCAGTGCCATAAAATACAATACAAAATGTGACAATTCAGTGTTTCTTAGTTGTTTCATATCTGTGTAGATAATTTTGCAAGCGCTTGACCATTTTCATTAAAAGTAAAGAAAGAATGTCAAAAGAAGGGATCGAACCTCGGGCCTCTCATGCATTAGGTTATCACTTAACCCACTGCGCTATTGCGGATGTTAAGAGAAATTTCATTAAGCTAGTGGCAGTTTTCCAAACGTTAGTCATATAAACTCCTTATTAATTCTCGTAAAATAAACGGACAAAACCGAAGTGGGATCGAATATTTAAATGAGTTCTATAATGTATTCATAGTTGACAGGTCAATAAAATCAGACTATAATAACGCCTGTCATCAACTCATCATAACACCCAGTGTTCTGTAAGGGAAGTAACTGCTAAAGGCAGTTGGTAATCAACGAATACAAGTTACACCCCTTGGTTACCGAAGGTGAACTTTGTACTTTCGTATCAGCTATTTTTTTTTTTTGAACGGTAAAGAAATGACGCGACCTATAAAGTTTAGAAGGCTAGAAAAAATATTTTTCATATTCTCAATCATTGTATTCGTCAATGTTGCACACTGCAAAAAGACAACTGGTAATTATTTTTGTGTTATTGTTTACATTTACTTATCATATTTCGGATAAGCTAATGTTCGGACATTAATGTTGAAAAGTTTAGGGTTTTAGTACTGTACTGGTCGGGGACCATCAAACAGACACTTTTTGAACATTTTTCCATACAGATTTCATAATTTCCAACTCAGAGACCTAAAAAATTGACACAGTACAGATAGGTTATTCTCCTAATTAACAAACTAGTTTGTTTATTTCTCCTATATAACTATAAGGAGGGTATCAAAATTACCTAAATTGTCTACACTACAGTACCATGTGTCCGGACAGATATCTACATGTTGTGATTTAATTCAGATAAAAGCTTGGGTGTTTTATTTTTTAACATTATATCCATTACAGTGAACTTGCCCTTTCCGAACCAATTTTATACTTTTTATGAATTACGATGCTTAAACTAAAAAAAATATTTTAAAATATAGATAAATATGTCACGATTAAAATAGCGCAAAAAGAAATTGTCTTTGAATTGAATTTTATACCGGAATTTCCCAGAAAATTTAGACTGGTTCTTTGCGTAATCAGAGGGTCATACTCGCCTTTTCCGAATCACCACAAAATTAACGAAATTAACGACATTGAATAAAACAATATTATGCTCGCCAGAGGCCTGCATAATATGATTTTATTCAACTCGTTCAATAAATTCAGTATTAAACCTACACTCATTGAATATCCTCTATAGATATTGTATATATAGGGATACATGTATATAATACATACATATATTGTGTAAAAATTATAAAGAAGAAGGAAGTTTATGATATTCTTTAATAAAAATGTTGGTGAATATGAATATTAAACTGTTCAATTTACTTTTGATTTTTGTTCCAATTCAGGATAAATAGAGAGTAACATGCTACTGTCTTTTGATATCAATTTTATCAGGCGAGGCAGATTATGGACTGAAAGGGGCAAGACTCAATTAATGCCTTAATTCCCGGGTGTAGATTTTCCGAGGTTTATGAAAAAAACCATGGAAACTGCTTCAAAAACCTTGGAAATAAACCAGTTTTACAAGGTTTTTTTTTAATTCCGAGGTTTTTTTTAAAACCTTGGCAACTTTATCCAAGGTTTTTGTATAAAAATCCTTGGAAATAAAGAAAACCTTGGAAACTATCTCGGAATTAAACACTCTGCCAAAAATCAGCTCGGAAAAAGCTTGGAAATAAGAACTTAGTCATTTTTTTGCTCGGAAAAGAACATAGAAAATTTACGTAAAATTTGTTGGAAACACTTTGCCAATATTTAGCTTGGAAATGACCTTGGAAAATTGAACTTAACTAAATTTCATCTCGGAAAATGTTAAGACATAATCATGATTTAACTTATAATGGGCATCAAAAGCAATAATCAACAGTTAAAGCAAACTAAGATAACAACCTGACTGTAGATTGCCCATGGATATTTTTTAATCCATGGTCAGAGCAAACATTATTGTCCAACAGCATGGAAAGGAGAGATTTGGTCCAGGAAATCAATTTTTAGTATGAACATTGTCAATGGCCAACTTCCTTTTCAATAAATTTGTACTTTAATTTTCTGAAGCCATTTTTTTCGGAGGAATCAATTCAAAAAATTTAAGTGTGAAAACATGGAAAAGTTAAATACAATGTAAATTCCTTGTTGCCATAAAATACCTTTTATTAATGGCTATAAAGGTATTGTAACTAATCATAATAAGATAAAGATTATTCAAATAACTGATGATCAGAAAGACTTGAAAATTTTTTTTTTTTTATTTTCATATATTTCTTTTATTATTTATAATTATTGTTACTAGATATCTTTTCCATTTTTAAGAATAGATAAAAGAGCAAAACTATAATACAAAAAGAAACAATCAGTGTTTATGTCTATTAGTTTCCAAATGCATCAGTATTTTTCCTGCAGTTTCTTTCTATATATAGACTTATTTTTACTTAGGGTTTTTTGACAGCCTGTAAAAGAATGCTATTAATATTTAATATATGTTTTTATGCCATATAAAATAGTATATTCTACTAAGCAAGTCTGTGACATACATTCAGATTACAACTTACTCTGCCATTAATTATGTGTACAATAAACATAAACAGTTATTAATTGTCGTTTTAATATATAATTATGTACAATTAATGTGTAAAATATGTATGCTTGAAAATTTCTTATAATTAGGATAAATAAATACTGCATCCACTAAGATTTCACACACAGAATATAACACACTGATCAGATAAAACTAATGGCACCCCAGGTGGTTCCCTCTATCTATGCATGATCAATCTTCTCATTGCGCATTCTGGGATAGACCAGATTGTTCCATGTGATTATTTAGGGGGAGTCTGGGTTTTTGTACATTCCAAAACAATCAGTCTAAAATGACACTGCAACTGTGATTCTCTTTCAAGAACTTATTATGATTTTCAAGTATTACTTCTATTTATCATTTGATATATTTGTACCTTCAATAAATGTAAAAATAAAATGATGATGGCTTTGATATTTTGGGATCACCCCTGTTTCACATTATGATTGCCCCTCCAGTTATACTGTTGAAAAATTTGAATCTCAGACATTAATTAATGGGTCAAGTGGTTATAGTTGGAAATAGTGCAAACCTGGATTTATTTTAAGCAATTTTGGAGATATCTTGTTTTAAATGTTAGGGAGCATATTTTGGAATTTTCAAAGAAAACAATTATCTAAGTGTGACAAGATTCAGGAAATGTTAGGTTGTTGTAATTGAACCTAACGATCAGTGACCTGAGACAGGAAGATAAACAAAAGACACATAATAGTAAAAAGGTTCAGGTAAATAATTTTAGATACATTTATGCATAAAATCTGTTGTTTTGTTTTCAAAAAAGTATTAAATACAAACTATTTTAGATCTATATTTTTAACCTAAATGTAAGCTAGTTTAAATACAAGTGTTTAGAGGATATTTTATGAGTATAATTATGCTATGTTTGTCTATGCTTGTATTGAACAAGATGAGTGCATGAAACTATGATGACATTATTTATAAACTTTCATCTTTCATCTATTATTTGAATCTACAAATTTTTAATTACAGAGTCAGCTTGAAAGCAAGTTTGCAGGACTGATCCAAACTGCAAGAAGATGGCAATCCAGCTTTGCTGTGTTTTATCATAGTATAAAGCAGAGGAATATATTTGAATGTCATATGCATTGGCACCTTCAAAGTCAAGTGATTAAGGAAGCCAACTGTAGAGCAGGAAAGGCTTCAAGGAATATACTACAGTATGTTTTTGTTTTAAAACTAGGTTTTGAAAGTTTCAATTTGAAATTTGAATGAATGAAGGTTTCTGGAACTGATTTTTTTATTGATACTTTGTTGGAAATGCTGTTAATGTTACATGATGACTCTCCAGCTTTATTGATGCAGATGTCACTTTGAGCAGACAGATACAGTCAGTGTAGGCAATCGGAATCACCTTATGAAAAGCGATATTTTTGGCAATATTTTTAGAGTGCTTTAGGTTGTAACATCCAGTATGACATAATCTAAAATAATAGTAACAGACATCATTTCTTTTCTAAACGTCACAGAATTGTCACACTGCTTACCAAAGTTTTCTTGAAATCCTGACACTAAGTACTGATGAAGAAAAAATAGAAATCAACATGAAAAAAATTAAATTCACTATTTCAAAACAGTAGACAAACATTTAAAAGTAACTACAGAAAAGGTCATTTGAAAATATTAAAGCTTTCATTTTAAACAAAGGTCTTAAACAACTTGTCATTCAAGTAGTTTTGGATCACTCAAAAGATGTATTTCTTTTCACAAAAGTGCTGATTCTTTAAAACAATATATATCAACAGTGAACTGATATTTTTGCCTATGGAAACGTTAGGAACGTATCATTTTTTTTATTGATTAATAAAAAAGAAATTAAATGATGTAATTCTGATTGCCTACTCATACTGAACTGTCCTGAGTATAACCATAGGTGTTCCTTAATCCTGGGCTGGATAGCTCCCTCAGAGGAAAAAAGCCCATCCTGGCTTCAGGAGTCAAAAATACAATGTTGTAAGGCAAGTAGTTCGAAGTCTTTGATCCTGACCACATGGAGAGGGAAGCGCCCAGTGGTGATTTTATATAATTTTTTTCTAACTTTTTTCAATGGCTGTACTTTATTAAATATTTACTTTATTTATTTCAGGAAATTTATCATGGAGCATTTTCCAAATGTGATCCCTGTGATGGTGAGGAAAAAACTAAGGGACACTTTAAAATCATGAAGAGTGAACAGGAATTCAATAGATAGATATTTGAATGTATTTAAATAAAGCCGGATACCAAAAAAATTATAACTGAACATTGATTGTAATATTTACCATTAAAGACTATAACTAACTTAACTTTTCATTTGTAGTGCATTACTATTTACTTCACACTGACATTAAATGTTTCAGTGAGTCATGTGATCATTTTTTGCTCTGTATTATTATAAAGAAGTTTCTTAATTCCTTAAAAGGACAATATAATTGCTCTTTTCAGAATATTTCATTGGATGTTATATTTTCTGATTTTCCATGGATATTCTAGAAATTTCCAAGGTTTTTGCTCAAATAAACCTTGGAAAATTCTCTGATGCCCTTAAGTAAGAATCCTCAAAAAATATAACAGTATTCCCAGTTGTGAGAAACCACGGAAACACTTTAAAAATCCTTGGAAATCGTTCCAATACTCCGAGGTCATACTTTTTACGAGGTTTTTTTTTTAAAAAACTCGGAAATTTTTTACAAGGTTTTTCACCCTCTCCCTATTTTTCCAAGGTTTTTTTAATAGAAAAGTTTTGCATTTTCTTGTTCCAATACTCCGAGGTTTTTTTCCAAGGATTTTGAGCCAAAAACCTTGGAAAATCTACACCCGGGTAATATCAAAGATAGTCACATGTTTTTTTTATTTATCATGTAACACATAAAAAAACTGTCAAAAGTATAAAATAA